ATTTTCAAGTTCTCTTAACAACATATGAATATATTATAAAAGATAAATCTATATTAAGCAAATTACGATGGGTATATTCTACTCCTGGTTCATCTTGTCGTACTATTGCATCGTACTCTTTTATATATACAGGTGGCAATTCACTCTCCTCTATTAATCTATCTGGCCGTTTTCCTTTACCTCCGGATTTTTTCCATTCCATCTCTTCTCTTTGTGTCCTCTCCTGATCAATTTGTTTGAATTTGATAAGTTCATCGTCATTACGAGCTATGAGCTCGTTCAGCTCCTCATCATCTAACTCATCATCATCTTCTACATCATTTATTTCGTCATTATCCACCTCAAAAATCAAACGCTATATGTTGAGTATATATTATTCAAACGTTAGCTACGCTTAATATGTATTATAATTCAATGAATATATTTAAAAAAAAAAAAATACCAAAAGTTCTTCACGTTCGTTTTCTGTACTCTTATTATCAAATTTACCGGCTTGAATAACCTTACCATCAATGTCCAATTTATATTGAGCTCTAGCCAAAATGGTCTCCTCAATAGATTTTTGTGAGATTAGCCGTAATATACGAACTTCTCTGGTTTGACCTATACGATGTGCACGATCCTGTGCTTGCAAATCCTGGTGTGGATTCCTAAATTTAAAATTATATACCAAATTAGGCCTTGATCCATGTAATATATATAGTATAAACATAATTTTATATTCACCAATCAGAGTCAAATATAATAACAGTATCAGCTGTCTGCAAATTAAGACCAAGTCCACCAGCTCGAGTACTAAGTAAAAATACAAAATAAGGCGAATCCGAAGAGTTAAACGATTTCAGCAAATCTGATCTGCTCTCTGCCTGGAATGATTATAACATATATATCAGCCACCATCATCACACAAAATCACTGTTTTTGAAAATAAGTACCTTTGTGTTACCGTCCAATCTTAGATATTTAAACCCACGCCAGTTAAGAAAATCTTCCATTATGGTCATTATAGCTGTCATTTGGAAAAAAATCAAGACCTTATATACAAACATATCAAATAATTGTGATTGTCGCATTAATAAATTGTTAGTCTTTAACGAATTATGTAGTAAATCATAGTTACATAAACAACAAAATTATACCTACTCTGTGTCCTGTAGCAAAAAATTTTGGCAATATACGATCCAGTAACTCAAACTTTCCAGATACTCGGTATAGCAAAGAACTATTGGTATTTCCAGGATTTATGTCTTTTTCAACTTCTTCAAAAACAAATGGGTGATTACAAATTTTTCTCAATTGCATGATAGTATTGTTGAGACCTTTTATCCCGGTTTTCCTATTAACAGTTAATTAATAGTTCATAAGATATTCCAATAGATTCTGCTAATATGTTTGCTTTACCAATTAAACAATTTTGTATAGTATACCCTTTCTCTCCGGTATTAACAAACAGTACACCATGTTTTTTCATTTGACTGTAAAGCTTTAATTGCAAAGCTGAAAGCCTGCACTTAATCACGGTCTCTACTTTATCAGGTAATTCTGACTCAACATCTTTCTTTAATCTACGCAATAAGAATGGTCTTAGAACCTATAAGTTGTTTACATAATTTTAGCAAAATTTTGATTTATATAACTCGATATGCATAATATAACACAGACCTTGTGTAAACGTCGAATAATAAGTAATGATTCTTCTTCGTTTAGTGCTATTTTGTCTTGTCCTGCGGCATTCGCGAATGGAGTATTAAACCATTCGTCAAAACTTTTTACGGAGTCAAAGATCCTCGGTAAAATAAAATTCAACAATGACCATAATTCTGGCAAGTTATTCTGAACAATAAATTATAAATTATTTAAATATAGTCAAATAAGAATTTTAATATATGAGTAATGAAGATAAAATAATAATACCTGTAAAGGAGTTCCCGTCAAAATTAAACGATAACGGCATTGATAATTGTTTGTCAAAATAACTGATAATTTTGACTTAGTATTTTTCATGCGATGGCCTTCATCAATAATTACATATACCCATCGTAATTTGCTTAATATAGATTTATCTTTTATAATATATTCATATGTTGTTAAGAGAACTTGAAAAT